AATAAACAGAACTAGTGGTGCATGGTAGGGAATACAATACCGATAAAAAATTTCAATACCGGTATTTCGATATTTCATTATCAATATCGAGTATATTGAGTACTTTACACCAAAATCGAACATCTTAGTAAGAAAGACCAAAAACTCATTAAGGATCATATTACATGTTTATAATGAATTGTATTGCTGTACCCGATGTGCTAAATCAGCACAATTTTTAATATTTTAAAGAGTTTAAAACAGTAATTTTCCTATACTAAGATCCGATAGTTTATCAAGGTAATTCAAAACAATATAATAGTTCTATATCATGTTCAAACTGCGATACGTTTTACGTAAAATAATATTTTATAATTGTAATAAAAAACAAAAATATTTAATAATAATAATTAATAAGTATAAAGTTAAAAAAACGAAGTGACACGAGTATTCATGATATAAAATATTTGGGTGCAGATGTTGCTTCAAAAAATTGTTATGCGGTTACTATTCGGCACCATTTTTGATATTTTGCCGAATACCGAACACATAGTTAAATTCTAAGGTGTCGCCGCCGCGTGTATTGTTTAAATTGTTTAAAGTATTGTTCGTGGTTTATCTTCAAGGTGATTAAAAGCATGCAATGAATCTGCATTTGGAAGTCTTCTGTTTACATAGTATGATATGAAGAAATGAATTCGTGTTGTATATAATCGAACACGTGAAGAATTATTTTCTCAATATTAAAAGAACATCGGTATTTAATATAAATCATTTAACGGTTTCACACATGTGTTGTATCTATATACAACGTAAGTCATTCATTATATACAATCTAAGCATTTCTATTTGACATTATTTGACGTGTTGATACAATAGAACATCTAAAGATGTATCTGTTTAAGCGATTATGGAAATTAAAGATAAATTTGTTCCGATAAATTCGAACTCGAGTGTGACATGTATCAACTAAATACCCAAAATACCGATATTTTTGAGGTAAATACCGGTATTCATACCGCCAAAAAATTGGGCAGTATACCGGTATTGCATTCCCTAGGGCATGACATAGTACCGATAAATTTGAACTCGAGTGCTGGATTTACAGTAGGGGCAAATCGGGGCTACTGCCCAGGGCGGCAAATTTTTGGGGGCGGCGAAATTTGGATAGTGAGAAAAAAATTCTATACAATATAATCAACTTTTTTTAACAACATTTTTTATTTCAAAAAATATAATTAACAAAACATAATACGATTGCAATGCAAAATTTGGGTTGAAATAACCGATTATTAAAATTTATTATTTTGCCTTGCCTCCCTCTCCTAACGTAAATTATCAAATTGGTTAATAAGTCATTATCAAATTTGTCAATTTGGCTAATATAAAGATCCGTAAACAAGCTGAAAGTTTAAGAAAAATATTTTTTTCAGTTCTCGAGCCTTCTTAAAATGACGAATTTCTGCACTTCCAAGCCTATAGCGTTGAAAAAAAATTTAAACTAGTGACGCATGGCATTGTGCCTTAAGACAAATTATTGAAACACCCGTACTGAAAATTACATTTTATAAAGAGCTTTAAAATTGAAAAAAAATTGAAAATGAAAAAATTGACTTTTAAAACACATTTTTTGTATTTTGAAATTTTTTGAAAATTATGAACTTTTTGCAAAGCAATCGCGCTGCGTAGCTGTTTCAGAGAAGAAATATCAAATCTCAATTACCATTTTTCGTAATTCGTGCCAAAAACTAATCAGCACGTCTCCCCATCAATACAAATCTAACATTTTTTAATTATTCAAGTGAACACGGATCAACCGATTTAAATGATTCAATTTCTATTGTTAAGGAGACGTGCTGATTAGTTATTGGCCAAGGCAGGTCCAACTGTTTTGAAGATACAGGCCAAATGACAAAAATGATAATTTAGTTGTTGAGAAAAGATGCGTCCAATATCTTTCAAAAAAAATATAGAATAAATAACTGCTTAAATTTGTGGGAGGCAGGTGGTTTAGCGGTTTCGATGATCCAATAAAAAAATTTGAAAAAGAAACATTTGGTGGACAAAAGTGATCATAAGACATATGCACATCAAATTATCAGATATTTTAAAAATATTTTAATAAGTATAAATTTTGTTTACATTTATATGGGTTATGTAACATAGTTTATTCGTTCGCGCACCTATATTTTGTCCCTACGCAGCTGAAGCAGTGCGATTGCTTTAAAAAAAGTTCGAAAGTTCGTAAAATTCTAGGGATGGGGCGGCATTTTTGTCAATGCCCCGGGACGCCAAATTTCTAATTCCGGCCCTGCTCGAGTGTGAGATGTATCAACTAAATACCGAAAATACCGATATTTTCGAGGTAAATATCGGTATTCATACCGCCAAAAAATTGGGCGGTATACCGGTATTGCATTCCCTTGAACATTCGAGAAATAAAAATATTCAAAATAATCGGCGTATCAATTATTAATAATGATTGTTTTAAATACTTTCAAATTATTATAGAATATATTTTAAAGTTCATCGTTAGTATTTTATGTAGCTAATATAATCGCTTATATTTGAGCTACTTCATTAAACGAAAAGAAGAACAAAACGTAATCGCAGTGCATACTACTCTGAATTCTATTGAGGACCATCTCATTTTTATTGCATGAACAATTCAAACTGAGTTGCAAGTTGAAGATATTTTTTTACAGTTTTTGCCCCGTATCTCTGAAACTGTCTCTGCCAAAAACTATTAAGCACGTCTCCTCGTCAACGTCATCCGTGCTCCCAAATCGTGGAAATTTGAATCCAAAGACACACACACACACACACATACATCCATTTTTTCTATGGTATGCCAAAATATTCAGAAGGTCTTGAAAGATTAAGATATGCAAAAAGCGTATCTGGCGCAAAATAAAAATAATTTTGTGTTTTATAGTTTTATATAAATAAATATATTGTAATGCTTGCGATTACAGTATCGGGTCATACACGTAATGCGTAATATTTGCTTCTGGCCCGATTATCATACGCAATTTACGTTTCGTTTTGCCTAGCCATTGTACGCGGGCTATATTCGCCATTGTATGTTAAGGGGTTAAGCACGTGGATCAAATTCTGCATATGAAGCGTATGTCGTTCGCTACTATGTAACTAACTAGAGCTAGGACTCATACTACATAAAAATAAATCGAACAAAAAAAAAACGTACACAAAACCAGCCGCACACAAATTTCATCGTTCTGTCCATTCAATTAAAATATGAAAAAATATCGCAATTGGCATTGGATTCTATAGCATTTGAATTTTACACGAACATTGAATACTAAAGTGAGTTACATAAATAAATAATATTGGAAAAATAACAAATTGTAACTTGTTATCTGGGCAATGCCGATAATATTATAATACCGCATCATATATTATATAATATTACCTGTGCCAAGTAAGCCGATCAAGCGTCTTCGATGAAATGAACACTTTTATAAAATGTACCTCTGAGGTATGGTCGGTTTTCGTTCGGGAGGGGAGTGACAGAAGGGTTTGCAAACCGTTCCAATAGCAAATATTACTCCACAGCAGTAATGCCATCGGTTTTCACCTGAGCACATGATGATAATGTTTTTTCGCGAAAATAGCCTTTTGGGCACTGCTGCAATATCCCAATTATAAAGGCGACCATGGGCTTCTCTTCTAATAGCGTTCAGTAATAACAATAAAAAAAAACATTATCAAGTAGTAAGAACAATCAATCTAACAACGTCGTCTAAATGCAGCTTATAGGACATTTAATAGTTCTGATTGCTGAAAAATAACAAATATGAAATAAACATATTTATAGAAATTACTTACAGGTTACAGGTACCCATACATTTATTAATCTCGTAACACTCGATGTTTTCATGAATATCAGACCAGCTAATCTATACATCTAAACATATAAATAAAATTGGAGTGGCAATACTGACATAGCCGATTTTTAATATATGCATTTTAGTATATAAATATGTACGTATAATATACCAAATTAACTTTTTTTTTATTTTTGACTGTTTGTGTTTGTGCGGGCTAATCTCCAAAAACGGCTGTACCGATTTTGACGATTTTTTTGACAGGTAGTTGATTTAATTGGGCGTAAATGATATAGCTTCGAGCAGCCTGATAGTGACACCCGGTTTTTACTTGAAAACATAGATAGCAATATGTTTTCAGCCATTGCTGCTTCATTAAAAATTCATCACTATTACAGAAATAGTATGATGAAAATCAAAAACATGAGATGTACCAACTGTTTATCTATGAAATCAACATAGTTTTAAGTCATATCAGCTTAATAGCTGATAGAATTCTTATGTTCTAATCACTGTTCTAATAATATAATAATATGAAATAAAATTGAATGAAAAAAGTTTGTTGCATAGTATACTGACATATATTGATTTTGTTACACTGATTTTAAGTAAAATCTTTATCACAAAAAAGTATCTCAGGTTATTCAAAAGTCAAAACAGTGACTATTAGTTTCATTATGGTCTATGGGAAACACTTTTATATTTAATATTGTCAGAATTATTAAGTAATTCATTTATATGTACTGGCAGATATTCGATGCACTTCCAATAGCATTCTTGGATATTGTTTTCTTGTTATCTTGTTTTACTAAAAGTTCATAATTGATGATGCAATACCTTTAATAAGACTAGATTTTGTAAAGACTAATAAATTGGTAATAAAGATTTAGAAATCAATTCTGTTGTAGCATTAAAGTATCATTAGCATGGGTATGATAAAAGAAATAATACAAAAGATTTTGATGCAAATTTTCTAGTTGTATTTGAAATACATTTAATACAAATTTCATTTGTGTTACTTATATATCTTTATTTATTATAGAAAACACATATTTCTTATTTCACTATCAATGCTGTACTCCAAGGTCCACATTTCAATTTAATATCTTTTGTTAAATGAAACCTGTGCTTGGTATTTCACAAACTGTAATATACACTGAGGTATCTTTCACTTCATATCCTCAATTCCTGGTATTTATTCCAACCTGTACCATACAATTTCATGTCGTTTCCTAATATTACTGTATGTCGGTTTCCACTACTTATTTGAAATACCTCAAATTCATTATCTATGAATGTTATTAGTTAGGAGTAAACATAGCATTGAATGAATCAGTTTCTGTAGCTATTGACTTTTGTAAAGATTTCAAAGAACTCTTAGGAATAGGTAATCCTAATTGTCCTTTTTCATTCCACCCCCAAGTGTATAATTCTCCTAATATGCCCACTGCACAGCTATGCCATCCACCTGCTGAGATTTTCGAAATCTGCGGAAAATCAAATATATATGTAAAAGATAATGTAATCTCATATCAAAATAATTTCAAATAAAAACTAGCAATTCCTTCTACTATTCAATTCAAATTATTAAAAATGTTTTTGCTCTATGAAACTTTTATTATTTTTTCACAAAGCAGTTTTTAAAACACGGACTTTTTATAATCTCACAATATAAAATTACTACATTGAATCATATTTATTACATAAATTGTCCTAAAAATTTAAGAAGCTGGTGTATAAAAACACACAAATTACATTTGTTATTAAAGATTGTATAAAATTATGTTTAGTATATGCAGTTTATGAAAAGTACATTATACAAGGAAAGCAAATAATTGCACAAGTTAAAAATTTGACTAGAAAAGTGATACAAAAATCATCTAGAGTAGATATAAGGTGAATATTAGTTGATGAATTTTTTTTTTAATCTTTGTTTCTAGTTTGTGTTTCATTTAATGAACTGTTTTTTACTACCTGTATTCCATCTAATGCTTCTACTAAGCGTGGAAATCTTTCATTAGATATTTCTCCATGTCCCAACTGGCCACGGCTGAGAATATAATATGATCCATCATAAACAAAGTGTTCACTTAATTTATTTATAAATTTTATACAAGATTAAAAAATGCTGTTCATAAAAAATTATCTCTTCAAATGTTGAATAATTCAACATTATAGATTGTATAATAAGAATGCTCTGTGGCATCAATTATTAAATTACACCATTTCTATTTTAAAATTAATATTGTGCAATTGAAAAAAAAATAAGATAAAATAGTTCTAATACAAAGTTGACTTAATAGTTAGATCTAAATAAATTAGTTAATAGTTTATTCTACTTCTTTCTATAATATAACAACAGAAATTACTATCAAAATAAGCCTATCAAATTATGTGACAAGTACATAAGTAAGTAAGTTCATCTTTAGAATAATATTAGCTTTAAATATGCCGCAAGATTGTAATTACTTGTTAGTATTTTATGTAAATTACCTTCCTACGCCCCATGAATATACTTTTCCTTCTGCCGTTAATAATAAAGTATGTTCGAAACCACTAGATATATCAATAACAGTTCCATCTACACTTGCCCGTGCCTCTTTTGGAGTTTTGTATAAATTATTATCTAGAGATACTATAGCAGTAAGAAAATGGCCCGCACATAAATATTGCACCACTTCAGACTTGCAAGGTACATTATTTGTGACATATTTATTATAATGTATTTTCGATACAGTTTCTATAATAATTAAGGCAAAAATTAATATTTAGGATGAGAGATTTTATACCAAATCAGACATTTATACTAACAGAATAGGTCTAAATAAATCTTCAAGTGTTTTGAACAATTTCTTAAATTTAGTTTCCAGCTACAATATTCACATTTAACCATATTCTTATGTATTTATTAAGAATTTTAAATCATTGTCAAATTGTTCTGCATAACTTTAGTTTAGTCACCAGTTAGAAATTTTAAAACAAGATTCAATTAATACAGAACAAAGAACTGATGAATCATAATTTAAGATACATACCTAATTCATATTCACTGTTATTTTTATATGCAAACACATTTTATCAGAATCGAGAAGTATTAGCACATCGTCCTTACAAAAAATATCTGTAACTTGATTATTGTTGTTTATCCGTAATTTTTGGTTAATGATTTTTGTGAACTGTTGCAATAACCCAATTTATAAATATTATTATTATAATTAATACATTGTACGACCAATGAAGAAATATTTCAATTCGGGTAATATTTTCTATTTGCTTCTTCGAAATATTCAGATCTTCTGATTCCTGCAAGCAGTGTAAGTTTACGGTACTTAATTTTGAAATAATAATATTTTCATGAGGAATTTGTTTGAAGCCATTAAATCCACAATATAAAAGTTTCATCGTTAAACTTGATTCAATGAATAAACAAAATAAAACCCAATTGGGTTTAATAAATGAAATATAATCCTAAATACAACGATAAAAATGGTACATTAGTACAATGTAATTTTATATATTATATTCTTAAGCAAAACTATCACAACTTGTTATGACATTTCCAAAACTATGAAGTTCTTGCGATATGCGCATTGAAACGTTGCATATCCAACTTAACGCTATAACATAAAATTTCAATAAGAAGAGAATATCAATTTTATTCATATATAAATACTATTTTAAATAAATTTTGACACAAAAAATTATCGATATATTTATTTAAATTATTTTAATAAATAATAAAAAATATAAGTAAATAATTTTAAAATATTATTTTGATAAGGTTGGTTATGCTTGGCCAAATATTTTTATGTGGCTGTGCTAATGTTTAGAGTTCCTGGTTTTAAAGTTTGAACTGCTACTTTAAAATATAGTTGTGTTCCTAAAGCTTGTGGAAACAATAGGAATGGTAAGTACTATTACAATTGATATGTATTTTAAAGTATTACAATCAATAAATCTCAATGAAGCAATTTTAATTGTATTACTCTTGTTGCCATAGTTACTGGGTCTGTTTGTCGAGCATAAGTTAGAAATGCTCATGATAATTGAATCTTTTTTACCTTTGATAGGGTCTCCTTGCAATATTAAGGCGTTTAGATCATCTCCTGATAAAGAAATTAGAATTTTGTTACTCGGCTTAGATAATGCTGGAAAAACTACGATACTGAAACGTTTGGCATCGGAGGAGTAACTGAGGTAAATTTTTTAATATACTATCTGATAATTCAATAATTATTGACTTTATCATAATTCTGTGATACTCTGGCAAAGTCTTAGAAAAATAATCAACAATGTTCACATAATATATATAAGATTTATAAATTTTGCGTTAAAGACTTTCTTCACAGGCACATTCGATAAACTCCCAGTAGGGAAAGTTATCGCAATCGCCAAAAATGGAAAATGAAAAAAAATGTACATCTTTACGTTTCGAAGGTTTCTGAGCATTTTGGCGCGCATACAAATTTTCAACGACTATTCTGGGAACCCACGGTTCAACCGATTGGAATAATTTAAAAAACATATGATTCTTATTGATAAGGAGACATGTTGATAAGTTTTTGGCCAAGGCAGATCTAGCTATTCCGAAGATACAGGAAAAAAGCTCATAATGCAAGATTTATAAATTTTGCGTTAAAGATCTTTCTTCACAGGCACATTCGATAAACTCCCAGTAGGGAAAGTTATCGCAATCGCCAAAAATGGAAAATGAAAAAAAATGTACATCTTTACGTTTCGAAGGTTTCTGAGCATTTTGGCGCGCATACAAATTTTCAACGACTATTCTGGGAACCCACGGTTCAACCGATTGGAATAATTTAAAAAACATATGATTCTTATTGATAAGGAGACATGTTGATAAGTTTTTGGCCAAGGCAGATCTAGCTTTTCCGAAGATACAGGAAAAAAGCTCATAATGCATTCAAATTAACGGCGCAAAATTGAAATAAAAAATATTGAATTTTAATAATCGGTTATTTGAATCCAAATTTTGCATTACAATCTTATTATGTTTGTGTTAATTTTATTGCTTGAAATAAAAATATTAATAAAGAGAATAATAATTATATTGCATAGAATTTTTTTCTCACTTTTCAAGTTTTGCTGCCCTAGGCAATAGCCCCGACTGCCCCTACTGTAAGTCCAGCACTGTACACACACATACACACACACACACACACACACATATATATATATATATATATATATATAGACGAGGTCGGTCCTAGGGTTCTCAGCGCCCTCATGCAATTTTTTTTTAGCGCAAATAAGTTTTATTAAAAATACAAAATTTTATTACAATTAACAGTATAAGATATAAACTGACACTTTTTAAAAAAAATTGTAAACCGATTTCAATGATTCTAAATTAAAATAATTGTTTAACATGTTAAAATTTAAAAGTTATTTATTAGATCTCCTTGATCAACTAAAATATTTTTGATTCTAGAAGCCCTGTGAGATTAGTTGATTAGTATTTAATAATAATATTATATATATATATATATATATATCTATACATACATATATATGTATATATATATATATATATATATATATACATATATATATATATATATATATATACATACTTTTATCTGTGAAGTTTATTTAATTTAAATGTGGTATGTATAGTTCTATTCAGATTAATATAACATTGCATTTCAGGTAACTCCGACTGCCGGATTCAATATAAAATCTGTTACGTCCGAAGGATACAAATTAAATGTCTGGGATATTGGAGGGCAGAGTAAAATTCGCCCTTATTGGCGAAATTATTACGAAAACACTGATGTTCTGGTAATGACATTTAACAATAATTAGTCAATTATGTTAACATTCCGTAGGGTAGTTACTCACTTTGATATTTTGTCTCTAAAACAGCTACGCAGCGCGATTGCTTTGAAAAACTAGCAAACAACAAAAAGTTTTAGGTGGTAAAACCTTCACCTCAAATCAGGAGGTCAAAAAGCGTCTTGTTTAGTTTTTTGCCAATATAGCGATCAAAAACTTTATGATCCCCAAATTATGCAACTACCAGAAATATGACAAAAGTTGTTCGACCAAAACGGCCAATATGTAATTTAATAAAGTATTATTATACAAAAAATGACTTGTCCAAATGTATAAAAAACTACTTTACGAACAGCCCATATTTATACACATATATACATATATATATACATATATATATATATATATATATATATATATATATATATATGTTCATGTACTAAAGTCGTTCTCATTGTTATACTATTTAGTTGTACGTCATTGACAGCGTTGACCGTAGGAGACTAGAAGAATCTAGCGACGAGCTATATGATCTTTTAGCTGATGAAAAATTAAAGGGAGTACCTCTATTAGGTAAAACACGTTTTCTTATTTAAGTTATTAACTTTTTTTATTAACTCGTATATATATATATATATATATATATATATATACGAGGTGTGGCAATTAAGTAATGAACCTGATTATATTGGCGCGATTGCGGTAATCTTACGACTTTAAAAATGCTTTTCCTTCTCCCGGCATCCTTCTCCTCTTTATTGATATATTTTCCATATCCCTGGCTTGTTTAGTTTGCCTGCTTTGCCTTGTTGAGTAAACGTGTGTTCCTGGTGCTCGTCACGAAAATGGAGAAACAAAATAAACAGCGATAAAATTTTGGGTAAAATTGGACGCAACAGCTTCGGAAACGTACGCTAAAATTGTAAATATGCAGGATGATAGTGCCAGGTGTTTTGATCACATGAGGAGTTTAAGCAGGGGCGTGATAACGTGGAAACGAGGAAGGTGAAAACGGTGATGATTGCCTGTTTTAATACCCTTGAAATCGTTTACAAATAATTTGTTCAATTGGGGCAAACCGTAATCAAGTTTACTATCGCTAATTACTCGATATTACGAAAACTTCAACAAGATGCGCTCAGACATCGTCCATATCTGGATCTTTCATCACGACAAGGCGCTGTGCCACACCGCCCTCAGCGTGTCTCTGTATTTGGCCTCTAAAGGGATCGTCGTGTTGCAACAACCGCCTTATTAGGCCGATATGTCACCCTGTGACTTTTTTTTGTTTTCCAGAACAAAATCGGTGGTGAAAGCCCATTTTGAATCGATTCTAGATGGATGTGACGAGGGTACTTGTAGACGTCTAAGCCTTCCAGAAATGTCACCAAGCATGAAAAACGCGCTGGAATTGTTGTATAGCTGCACAAGGGAACTACTTTGAAGGGGATGACAGTGTTGTAGAATAATTTTGAAATATACGGTTTTTATTGAATCAGCCTTATTACTTAATTGCCACACCTCGTATATATATATATATATATATATATATATATATATATTATTCTAAAATATTTTAGTAATCTTGATGTTTAAATATGTGACATTAAATCTGGAGGGCTATACATCAAATAAAAACTGTAGAAATGTATGAAATGTTCATCATTTCTATATGTTTCACCATATTATTTTATATCATCTTCAGTGGACGAGAATATTGAAATTGAAAAAGAATATAAAATAACTAAACTATGTTATAATGAAACAGATAAATAAAACTAATTTAAAAAGAAGTAATATAGTGTAATATGGTGACTTACATCTAAATTGGAATGTTCCTAATTATTTTATGATAATTTTCACACAGTAAAGAAGTATCATTCCTCTTGTTAATACTATTCTTGTATAATTGTATAAAGTAAGATTCCAAAAAGCGTCTCTGTGGTGTATTCGACTCTTGATTTGTATTTTTAAAGTTATTAAAATATTATTAAACTAATCTCATCATGAATGATTAATATATAATTTTATAATTTTTGCAGTGTTTGCAAATAAGCAAGATTTAGACACTGCCATGAAAGCTTCGGAGATCGCTGAGATGATGAATCTTCACAAACTAAAAGATCGTTCGTGGCAAATTCAAGCAAGTTCAGGACTAACAGGAGCTGGTGTCAAGGTACTATGTCAATTTTAACCCTTTGCGGTCAGATGGCGACTATATGGCGTCACCTATGGTTACATATTATATTTAATGTAGTAGTGCGTATACCAAACTGATATGCATATAACATTTATGTACATTGTGGTGGCTATATATCACAATCCATGTTATCAGGATATGGTAATGCACTCACTACACTATGTAATATAAACATTAAACTTGCAAGTGAACAATATTTCACAAAATACTAACTTCAAAAAATCACAAACAGATATTGTGTAATATATGCGTTGTTCTTAAACTGGTTGAAGATATAATGGAGAAAAGACTTTTTAAAATTATTTTTACCAAGATTCTGCACATGCGTGGAAAAAATCGCAAATCCTTTATTGTTTTGTGAGAAATTTGTAAATGCTATCTAAATAAAAGCGATTTGTGTCTCACA